GTATATATAAATAAAGATTAATTAAATATAATATAATAATTATTATTGGTTAATGTAATTAAATATAATATAATTATTATATATATTATTATAATTTTATAACAGTCCGGATATACCAGAATGAGAAAAATCCAGAAATGGTACAAGTATGAAATTGTATAGTTGAGGATGACTTAAAAGAATTAATTTGTACTACTTGTACTAATAAGATGCATCTACTTTTTGGTAGTTTATCTCATTAGAACTTGACTTGAGTAATTTAGGGATGAGTGACCTTTTGACTTTTGGGAAGTTTCCCATAAAGTGTGCGAATAAAGACAAAACACATTAAAAAGTGAAGTGTCGTGAAATAAAATCCTTGAGATGTTAAATATGAGAGGTGTTACATTAATAAATTTATTAAAATTAAACAGAAATTTTCTAACAGATTTATTCGTTGGAATCACATAAAGATTTTTAAACAATACCGACAAATATTCCGTTAGAATTTATTGACAGATATTCCATTGGAAATTACCGATAGATATTACCGAAAGATATATCCATATGTCAAAAATTATCTTTTTTCGACGAATATTCCTTTTTACTGTTATGTCCATCAAAAATTTACATTTTCCTTATAGTAATAGTATTATTATAATAAAAAAAAGAGTGAATTATATTTTTTTCCCTTAAGATATACTTAAAATAAACTTTCTTCTCCACTTTATTTTAAAATATGCATTTTATTCTTCTAATAGATGAATATGTATATTTAAGTCTCTTTAAATGTAATTGAGTTTTGTGATTCTCAACATGATAGAAAACTAATTAAAGAAAGTGAATTGTCATCATGAAGTAAAATTAAAAAAAAAAAAAAAAAAGTCAAATATAGACAATGGCACCGTCTATTTTAATATTTAAAAAATATGTAATAAAAAAGAAAATAGAGAATGTCATAATCGATTTCTAAAATTTAAAAATAAAAATAAGAAGTAGAATTGTTAATACTATTGTCTACTTCATTCTTAAAAGAAGCAAAAAGTAGACACCGATATTATCAACTTTCTCATCATCAAGAAAAAAAAAAGTTTTTAATAAATTGACCATAATATTGTCATCTTACTACGGTTTTTTAAAATAAAACATTATAATAAATTGATGATATGCATGTCAATTTTTTAAACCATATCGATTTATTATTATACACAAATATTTTTTTTTAATATATTAAACATGTAGTTAATCTTTCTATTTACGCCACACAAGTTGAAGAGGTTATTAAAAATGAATTAATCACCTATACACGTGTAAAGTTTTTTTATACTGGCAACTAATTATATCTTTTAATTGTGTCATGTCACTATTAAAAGTAAATAGGTTTACAGTGACATGACACAATTAAAAAATATAATTGGTTGTCGGTGTAAAAAAACTTTACACTAACGGTGTATAGGTAATTAACTCTTAAAAAATAAGATTTAACTCCTTTATGAAATATTTTGTTCTATAAAATAAAATACAATAATAATTATGGATTAAAAACTAAATGATAAATATTATAATTAATTTTAAATTTTATTATACATATATTTGATTTTATCACAATTTTTCATTGTTGTTTAAAAAAAGTATTTATTTTGATCATAATTACTAATATGATAATATAATATTGATAAAAAAAGTTAATATTTTATCACTATTACTTTATACAATTTAATAATTTTTACATGCTATGATCTTATAATAAGAAAAAACAAATTTATCATCACTAATTTGCGACAAACTATTTGTGAAATGTATGTTTTTGTCACTATTAATAAATTATAATGTTGGTTTATAATTAGGTCACTATTATAAATAATGTTAATGATAAAAATATAAATTATTCACAAATAATATATAATTGGTGACAAATTTTTATATTCATTTCGAAATCTTGCCACTAAATTATAATTTAATATTTTAGTTTGTTAGTTGTTATCATGTCATTTTTTTTGGTACACGTCATCATTGTCATGTGCAATTGTCCATATATACATTTGGGCCAGAGGGAAATATACTTGGGCCAGAAGGAAGAATATGGGCTATAACTTCCTAATACTTAGCCCATCACTTTTGATGTAGGATGGGGGAATTGATATTTACACCTTCTTTTTATTTTTTTTAAAAAAACACTTTTTTTGAACAAATACCCTCAAATCCTCAATGTGCCCACTACCCTGTAAGAATTTAACATTCCAAAATTTGGCAGAAGGCATTCTCCTCCTTCACGGTGAAACAATTAATTTAAAACCTTACAAATTTCTCCTTCTTGGTTCCACACATACCCTCACTAAATTCAACCGCATCCATTACTCGGTCAATGCTAAAAACAATGTTAATCCTATCTCTTAGTCCCTCACGATAGAACAACAAAGGACAAATTTCCCTCAGTTTCATAAGGCATTCACAATTATTTCAAAGAAGCAAGAAGAAAGAGGGTTAAAAGGGTCTGAAGAAATTTTGAAGAACATTGAGACAAAGGGAAGGATTTTGAAGACTTAAAAACGGGGATTCAGATAATTATCTTTGATAGAGTGTGGTGGTGGTGGGTATATAAAAAAATGAGGATTTTGAGAATTTTCACTAGAAGGGAGTTGAGGTGGTGGTTGGTTTTGTAAAATTAAAATAACTTTGAAAATTATATTGATTAGGATCCATGTGCTAGAATACAAAAAAAAAAAATTGCAGATGAATAACAATAAAAGAGAAGAATATTTTTTGAAGTGAAATTGATATGAAGTGGTGATGTGAACAGTGAATGTGAATAGTAAATCAATTTATAGGCACTAGTAATGCCATTCAACGTTTAATTTTCTCTCAATGTCTTTTTTTTTTTTTTTTTTTCTCTCAGCGTCTCTTTTCTTCTCTCAACAATGTTGTTGCCCCTCTCAACCTTCTCTCTCTTTCTCTCAACGTCTCCTAGCCTTCTCTCTTTCTCTTTCTCTCGTTATTTCTTTCTCTTGTTCCCTCTCTTTCTCTCAACGTCTCTCTTTCTCTCTCGCTCTTGGGCTGTAGAGGGTGGTGGGTGGTGTGGGTGTGGGTGGGTGTGGGTGGTGAGGAGGTCAGATTCGGGCTATCAGAGGGTGGTGGTTGTGGTTGTGGGTGGCGGGGGGTCGGATTCGGGCCGCGGAGGGTGGTGGGTGGGTGTGGGTGTGGGTGTAGGTGGTGGGGAGGTCAGGTTCTGGCTGTCGGAGGGTG